AGATGACTACCATGTATCATCCTCCCCTGCAGTCTTCATAATGTGTTTGGTCAGCTGACCAAGCTTTTTTCTTTCTGGGAAGTATCCCAACCAGGAAGATAGCCAGCTTGTGCCCAGAAGTATTAGAAACAGTGATTACTCTAATATTTGTGCCAGTTAATATGACTGTCCATATCTGTTGATTAGGGATCTTAGGTTTTAAAAAGATGCTGTCAACTTGAAATGAATTAATTTAAAGAAAATTGCAGGTTTTTAGCAGCAATCCCCAAAGTATTTTTGAAGTTTTGAAAAAATAACTACTTTGCTTCTGCGGTTTTAACATTTTCAGCCAGTGAAAAACTGACTGTAAACAGGAAACAGTGATACGCGCCCTATACTGTCAAATGTGCAAGTGAAAGAGAAAATGAACTGAAAACATTGTCTTAATTTTCAATTATTTTGGCTGTTACAAGTAACCTTGGTAACTATAATACTGTCATGCAGAAATGTAGCTTTCTGGTGTTTCTGCAATTGATCTTTTTAATACGTGCAACTAGAAAAGAAATTTTCAACCACTTCAAGGACTGACTTAATTTCTATGAAGGGTTAATGCTCTGAGAGAGAGATAACATCCAAATACAGTTGCTTTTAGAGCAAATTCACTTTTTAAAATGACATCATTCCAGGAGAGAAAAATGTTGATCTAAGAAATACCTTTTTCTGTGCCTGATTTTTTGGTTCCATATTATGAGATCCTGAATTAATACATTCATTTTAATTGAGCCAGATCCTAGTGTAGTTTTAGCTTTATACTCACACTTCTTTCATAAATGGTTATTTTGGTTGAAAAAGCTGATTTATTTATTTACACATGCACGTACCACCAAAATAAGGCCTACTGTTTTAAAACTTCTGTGTTTAAACTGAAAGGCTGTTAACCCTCCAGTAGGAATGAAAAATGCAAATAAGAAACGTAATTACATATTAATCTTATGCTGTTCAAAATGTTGTGTGCAGTAGTAGAGTTAACAGCTTGTCTACACTTGGAAATTAATTGAAAGAGGTATTCCAGAATAGTTATTTTGGCAAAAACTTCTAGGTAGGTCTACTCCATTCTGAACAAGAATATCCACATAGGTGTTTATACCAAGCAGTTTGTGTAGCAATACTATTTTGGCAAATTTTCAACTAAGGAAGTGCTTACAAAATCAAATCAGTTTAACTTTACTGTAGCTTGGACTGCTTTTTAGGAACTGTTCTTTTCTTGCGTAAATAGTGTCTCATAACATTGGAAACAAAGTGGAGAATATTGTTGTGTCACCAGACCATCATCCACAGTGCACCCACATCTTGAATAATATGTGCAGTTCCAGTTTCCACATATCAAAAAAGATCTAGAAAAGGTACAGAGAAGGGCAGCTAAGACTGTCAGGGCAGTGGAGCAGTTGCTGTATTAGGAGAGGCTAAAAAGGTTAAGAGTCTAGAGTTTGGAAAAGAGAAAGCTGAGAGGGAACATAATAAGAGGTTTATAAATCATGAAGGATGTGGACAAAGTGAATAGGAACTGTTACTTACTAGGTCCCAGAATACTAGAACTAGGGACCATGCACTGATGTTAGCAGGAGGCAGGTTTGAAATAAGCAGAAGCGATTTTTTTTACAGAACATGTTAATTTAACCTTGAAACTCATTGTCATTGTAAGTTGTAGAGATGGATAACATAGCCAGGTTTAAAAAGGGACTAGGCTAATTAATGGATGTTTGATCCATTAATAGTTACTAAACACACAAATCAGGGAAGTATCCTCTGATATTCCAAAACCTAAAATGATGGTAGATCCCAGAGAGGGTATGATTACTCTAGACAGATTCTGTTCATATGCTCTCACTCTGAAGCATTTACTGCTACTGATACCATTGACATTTTGAAAGAATTTCAAGAAAATGTGGAAGAAAGGATGTTCCATCCTCAAAATTAAATTACCAATTGTAAAGAATCTGATGGATCAAACTGTTGCTCCATCTAATTTTGTTAATGAAAATTATAATTGATTTAAATAAGTTCACTCTAAGAGGTTTGCCTTTTTTTTTTTTTTATGAAGGCTGATTTAAGGTTGTAATTAAGGTTTGTCAGCCTTCTGTGACAGTATTTTGGTTCCTTCATTATGGGCACAGGGTTTCAGGTTCTTCCCTGCTTTATATAAAACCTGTAGGAATCCTGCGAGTGGCAAATAACATTGCTCTTAAAGTAAATAGCATTTCCTGTTAAAGTACCTTAAGAAACTTGTAATGCTAAAATGAAAATTGAATTTGTGCAGAATTTGATATAATGAATACTCCCAATAAACAGATGGTATCAGGTTTATGCATAGACCTTAGTATATATTGGAGGGAATAGAAATTTCCTTTGCTACGTCTTCTAATTTTTCTTTTCCTAAGTAAGTTATTAGTCTTTCACCATCTAGCTGATGGGAGCAGTCGGTATGTTTTCATTGAATAGCTGTGCAGTTGACCTTTATTTAGGAGTTTTATCACTGATAACCAATACCACTTCAATTCTGTTAAGAGGTTGCTGGCAGAAGGATAAACCTTAAAAGTAAACCTAAAGTATGGAGGGTAGGATCCTTAGAAGGACACCTAGAAGGTAGAAGGCTCCAGGAAGTTTACATGAGACAGGAAAGCTCTGGCATTATACCCAAGTGGCAGGCCTGAAAGAGAAGCTGGGAAAGGACTCCAGGACAGCTGTAGGAGGCAAGAAACCCACAAGTCATCTCCCAAGAAGTAATCTTTGATGGGGAAATGTCAGACGAAACACTGGGGAGAAAATAGAGCAGCCCATGGGCAGTTATCTCAGGGCCCACAGTCTTTTGCCCAGGCACCACTCCCACAATTGCTCCTGCTGCAGCTGGGATTTCCAGGTGCCCCACTCCCTCCTCCATTTTCCACTTCCAGTCTGTGCAGCAGAAGCAGCCCCAACTGCTCAAACGTTGGACATCCTTAATGTAAAGCAAGCTGTTGCAAAGGACCTTGATAAAAAAGTAGGAACTGTATCTCCAGGAAGGGGGGCTTGCACATAGGATGCCTGTATCTGAAGTCCCAGGCTGAAGAGTCTGGGAGGTAAGATGTTTGCTGAGACCACATGGACCTAAATTAATGAGCTTTGCTCAGCGGATGGAATTTGGAACTGATCTGACTAATCTGGCCTGAGCCAGAAGTTAAAATAAAAAAACAGTATGTTTGCCTGAAATGGGCCGTGTGTTTTATACAAATTCTCAGTGTTGGCTGCATTTATTCAATCACCTTCCTAGTTAGTTTCCGTTACTGAGCACATGCTGCTTTTGGCAGCATTTTAATGATAGACAATGTATTTAATGAGGTTTTCTTGCATGTGAATGTAAGATGAAGAGCATTTTTCCCACTGCTGAGTGGGGGCAGGGGGAAATTGATCTTGTATTTAAGCAGACATGGTAAGACTTAGCTCTCTTGTTCTTGGCAGGTTTGATTCTTGTCCTTTTGGGGAAGGGAAACAACTAATCCTAAAGTACTAGTGCTTTCTCGTTTCTCAACCAGTTGCATCTTTTCTGCCTGTATGTGTGCCCTGTTACTCCTTTGCATCTTTGTTTATTATGTTTCAAGGAAAATTACTGAGGCCAGATGTAAATGGAAACTGCCTGGTGCAGCCATTTTGAGTTGGGGTCTGGCTTTTCTGTTACATTTTTATAGGGGCAAAAGTCTTAAGATACAGTTATCCTGGCAAAAAAAAACTTGTTTTTAACAGGATAGGTTATTTCCCTTGGGAGCTTGTATAAGCTGTGTTGGCAAAAGTACTGTTGATGGTATAAACCATTTACCTTCAGTTACCTTTTGCTGTTATGGGTCACTGCTTGAACCCATTTCACGCTGCAGGCCTTAAATCTTTGCATCCCAGAGCACCAAAGCCACCATTGATCCTCATTCCCAGAGACAGTGGGAAGGCATAAATTCTGCAGTAAGAGAGTAGCAGAAAGAGGGGCACAGTGTAGTTGTGTGCAGCCAATGCCGTGGGCCAGATCTGGCCTGCCTGAAGATTGCACCTGGCCTGCAGGTTGTAGGTTGTCAACCCCTGGTATAAACTATGTATGTAATAGGAGAGGTGACCATTGTAGCTATAGCAAACCTTTTCCAGTTCAGGCTAAATACTGAATTTGATATTTCGGGGGGACTCTAAGGATATCAGGTATCACACTTCGATTGAATTAAATCTCTCTTCCTTCTGCTTTTTTAAAAATCCCAGTCATAAGTCTTGGTGGAAGGTGTGTTCATGCCATTTTTAGGCTGTTTTACTTCACTAACAAGCTCACACCAAATTTTACTTCTTAATGGTATGTGTTCAATTGGATCTTCTTTTCCATTGACAGAAGTCACTTCCTTTAGTTCTTGAGCCATTCTGCACTCTGTGCAAAATCAAATATCTAATTGATAACTGGATCAATTAGATCAGCAGTGCTTATAGTTTTGGCCCCACAGACCATATGAATGGTGTGGGGTTGATCTGCAGGCCTTGCTCAGCCTCACACCACCCCCAGCTGGCTGGTATCAGACTCTGGGGGCCCCACACCTCCCTGTGTACCCAACATAGTGTGCAGGGCTGCAGCCCACAGAACTTCCCACAGAAGGGTGGAGAGCCTTGTGAGCCAGATGATGGCTCCAGAGGATGGATCTGGCCTGCAGACTGGGAGTTGAACATCCCTGAATTAGATGGGTTTTTAACAATAATAAAATTCTCTGCTATTTGTTCATCTACAAGAATGTAATTCATTGTTTGTCTCAGGTGATTAAGCTTATGAACACAGTAACTAGTCGCAAATGAATAATCTATACATGTTTTGCCCATGTACTGACTTCATCTCCAGTTGCATATTTAAAGGTCATTAACTTAAAGTATTTTTCCTCTATAGGTCATGTTTATTTTAACCTTTCTCTTTGTTTTGTAAGAGGTGTTTATGTTTCTTTGATACTTATGTTGTGGTGGTTTTGTTTCAGTGATGTTTTGGCGCTGCCCATTTTCAAACAGGAAGATTCCAGCCTTCCACCAGAAAATGAGACCAAACACCCACCGTTTCAGTATGTTATGTGTGCTGCAACCTCTCCAGCAGTCAAATTACATGATGAAACTCTTACTTACTTGAACCAAGGTCAGTATGGCTTCTCTTACGTACATTGGTAATCAGACCTACTGTTAATGTAGTTTAATAAACATTGGCATCACTGACTGTGTCCTATGAATAGATGATGGTCTCCATTTAAAAAAAAAAAAATTTTTCATAAGAAAAACCAAGGATGCCACCTACAGAAGGTTTCCCCAGGCTGCTTTGTATACTATTTTCAGTTTTTGCTTGTGGTGCTTTGTTCTGACCAGTGAATTTGATCCTAAAAGGAACATGTTATTTTTGTTTGCAATACAAAAATGTGTGTGTTTAAATTTATCCAGTATAGTATGTCATCTTTGCTTCTGTTTATAGATTCCTTGATTTCTCTAGGATAATTTCTTTGGTTTGCAGTTATATGGTGAAAGTGGCCAGCAGTTTCACTTTCTGGATTTATAAATGATTTTACTAAGAAGTTGTAAAGAATAGCAGCATGCCAAATGTTGAAGCTGACTTCTGTGGGTCTTAATTTGGGTGCTTTTAATCCAAATTAGAAAAACCAAATATTTAGTTGTCTAACCTCAGGCACCAAATTCTGAATATCCTCCCCTTTAAAGTCAAAGATCTGTGACCTGGAATTCTGGAGTTTTGCTTATTCACCTGCCACAAATATCACCTCATTTAGAGCACACAGAATGTTATTCAAATAGACTTAACCTCTTAGAAAACCTCCTTCCACCTTGGAGCTAAGACCCAACCGCTAGATTACAGGAGCTTGTGAGAAAAGATAAAGGGCAATAAAGTGTACTGAGCAATTTCAGAGGGAGGGATAAGAGAACAAGAGAAATTAGGGTGTTTGCACACAGAGGGAGCATCTACACATAGCCATACAGTGCCTTTGTTACTGCACCATCAGTTAGAAATTCCTTTTGGAAGTACCAGCCAGCTGGCCACACAAGGTTATTTTTGGTTGTTACGTCGCTGTAGCAACGTGCTGTAACAAGGGAGCGCATTGCTACAGTGATATAATGGCAGAGTCCTGGTTTTTGCCAACAGATGCTACAGCAATGTAGTGTCTTGTGTAGATGTGCCCAGAAGGTAGTAATTAAGTCTCCAGTTGGTCAGGACTGTATTCAAAACACAGAATGTATCTTTTTGACCTTATTCTGTGATAAATCATAGTCGGTGCACCAAAAGTCATGGAAGTATTGAATTCTATAAAAATGTAATTGCATCTGAAACTACATTTAATTAAAATTTTCAAAAAAGTTTCAGTTTTAATTTGATATCCCTTTTTAAATGCGGTTGCTATGGAAAGTGGTTTGACTGTGTGTATATGTGTATAGATGTGTGTGTGTGTATGTGTGTATATGTGTGTGTGTGTGTGTGTGTGTGTATATATATACACACACACATCTATATGTATTTTTAATAAGGAATTTGGAGATCAAAATCTCCAATCCTAAAATGTCAGTTCAATAGCCAGTGTTCAAGCAGTTTGTCACAGTGTAGACCACTGGTGCCCAACCATTTTGACAGGCATGCCAGAAATTAACCCTGCACCCTCCCCTAGTGCCACTTCCATCCCTTTTTTCTGTCAGATCTGCAGTTCAGCTTTCTGCTCCCTATTCAGTGGCTCCTGCCCAGTCTCCTGCTCACTTTTCTCATTCCTGCCCTATCTGCTGTTCTGCTGCCTGTCTCTTTCCTGATCTGCCATGTGCCACACCCTGAGGCTGCTTGTGCCACTTGTGGCACTCGTGCCTCAGGTTGGGCCCCCATGGTGTAAGCTACTGTCCTACAGGCTAGTAGTTCTAGGTAGCTGCCCACCCTGGGTTTGAAAGGTGTACAGGTAGAATCCTACCCGGGCAAACTTTTTACAAAGTAACATCCTAAAGTGCTGTATTTACCCAAATACAAAATGACCCTGAATTTAAGATGATCCCTCAATAATTAGATGTTATACACATAAAATTTATAAATTTGTAATAATTTTGCATGTATGTAATCAAATTATTGGTGGATCATCTTAAATTCATTCCCCCCACTACTGCGGACAGCTGGGAAAGAGGTGATGAGGGGGTAATAATGAGGCAGGCATGGGGGCAGTACGGGGGCACATGGTAGAGCAGGTCTTGAGGGGCTTTAAGGGGGCAAGTGGTAGGGGGCAGGGAGTGAGAGAGGCAGGAAGCTTGCCCCCTGCTGTCCATCCACCTCCACTTCCCCCCCACCCATTGTGATTGCCCCCCTGCAGTCTCAGGCTGCCTCAGTCCCCTTTCCCTTTCCCCCCATCTTCCCTGGTCCACCCTTCCCTCAACCTTACCTTTGCTCCGCACTGGTAAGGTCTATCCTTGCTCCAGCCTGGGGCATACAGCATGGCTTCAGCCCAGCCCCATAGCAGTGGCATGGAACTGGCAGTGGCTGCTACAGGATGTTTCTCAACCCATGGGTCAAGACCCAGAAGTGAGTCACAAGAATATATGAAAGGGTTGCGAACAAACTTTTAAAAATGGATTCTCCTTTAAAGAAGAAAAACTTGGGAAACCATGGCTTTTCCCTTGCAGGCTAGTAGAGTTCCAGCCTGCAAGGGGCTATGTGGGGTGCCTCCTGCCCCACACACTCAGGGCTTGGGGGTAGGGGGCGGCACTTCAGGAGTGAGGGCCATTGGGTTGGGACTAGCCATCAATGTTTACAAATAGGTTCCAGTATAAAAAAGTTGAGAACCACTGGGCTGGAGCACATGCTCTGTGCTCCAGGTTTCAATGAGGACAGAGTCCGCTGGTGCAGAGCAAAGGGCAAGGAGCAGTGCAGTGGGGGTGGGGGGGATTGTTGTGGGGGCTGCAGGGGAGGAGTAACTGGGCATGCAGTGGCATTGTGGGGGCAGCTTTAGCTCTAGCCCTAACTTCTACCCCCCACTGCCTCGTGCTCGATTTGTAAGGCAAGGGTTCCCCCCCATGTTAAATGGGGGAAAAGATCTTATCTTCTAATTGAGTAAATAGAGTAGATGTCCTTGCAGCCCTTAATTACTTAAGGTTCTGCCTTGCTTCCATTGGCAGGAAGTCAGTTAGATATTTTTGTCCTTTGAGAACCACCATTTTATCTAAGAGGCTATGGCTGACTGCCACTTGGTACACTTTCTTTTTCCAGTGAACTTTACCAGAATCAGTAGTCATAATTGAACTTTGCCTTTTTGGTATCTTTAAAGGAAACAATGCTGCAATGTATTTCATTTGTATTTTAATACAAATTAAAAATAAAATATATAAGCTATAAGTCAGCCACAAATGTTTTTTTCTATAAGAAGGTAGGTTTATGCTTTTCCTAATTTCCACATCCTCCAGTATCTTGGTGCTACTATTTTAAGCCAAGGAAATGTTGAGAATTTGAACACTTTATCAGTAATATTCCCACTTGTTTGTTGGTTTTTCAGTTTTGCTTCAACCTTCTGTGGGATGTGGTACACGTAAGTTCAGGAATAGATGGCCAGCACTTCAGTGTTTCTGTTTAGATCAGGTGTTTAATCTTTATTTTGTCTTTTGTGATTATTTCCTTCTCATTTGTATTTGAGAGATTACTTCTGTGCATAAGTTTTACTTTTTAAATTCCATCTGTTAAAACTACTTGTTGAAGAGGAAGGATAATATAGTGAGGCAGGTGTTAGACATGAACTTGTGAAACTCTGAGTTGATTTTTTTTTAATTTTAAAGCTTTAGAAAAGGGTGAGCAAGTGGTTCTAAATGCTGCCTCGTATTGTCAATATCTAGTAAATTCTAGAGCTAATTTCTCTCTCCTCCATTAAGGAGACTTTTTAGCACACCTAAAATTATTCTTTTATGTGTTTTGGGTTTTTTTAGTAAGCTGTGAAAAAACTTGATTCTCTACATTTTATTATTTGAAGTAAATAAGTGATGAAACCAGCACTGTTTTCTTTAACATTCCCTTTCTAATCTTTGTCTTCCATTCTATTTGTGCCAGCAAATAGTTTCTCCTATGTTTTTCTTCTGCTAAAATTATGCAAGGAGTTTGTGCTATAATTCAGGAATGTTTCACGTACAGAAATGGATGTAAATGAACTAATTAGGACAGGGGTAGGCAATGTTTTTTGGCCAGAGTGCTGAAAAAACCACAGTGTCTACCTTGCAAGGTGCCGGGGTGCTGGCATGCCAGAAAAACAAAATGAGGGCTAGGAGGGGGAGGTACATGGCAGGACACACTGCATATTAATATATTTAATAATTATAAATGTTGCCTTTGTTGTGTATTCCTTTTTTGTTAAGCATGTTGCAGTGAGAGTGAGAGAAATAAGAGAAAGAGGGAAAGAGAAAGAAAAAGGAGATCGGAGAGAGAACCAGATACATATATGCGCACACAGAGAACCACACCCACGCACACACGAATAGACACATGCAGACAAACACAGAACGAGATGCGTGGACACACGAAGCCGGGCTGCTGGGCCATCAGACATAGTCTGACCCAACAATACCCTGGGTGCGCTGGAGCCCCTCTGCTTCCTCGAGGAGCCAGCCCCCCTGCAGTGCGGCTGGCCAGGGCCCTGGCCCAGAGCCTGCCCATCAGCCCAACCACCCACTCCACACAGCTAAGCCTGCAAAGGTGTGGCACTTCTGGCAAAGGCCAGTGCCAGCCTCATCCTGGTGAGGTGGGGTGGAGTGGGGCTAGGCGTAGGTTGGAGTCAGATGGGCTCAGCTGCAAGCCCTGCTGCAAGTAGCTCGGGCTCCATGGTTGGCAGCAGCTACCCAGAGCGGGGGCTGTCTGTTGTCAGGATACTGCAAACAGCTGCACACATGCCTCAGAGCAGGCAGTGGGCGGGGGGGCCTGGGGCAGCACAACCCCAGCTTCTCCCCTGCTGCGGGCACAGAGCTGATGACTGGGCTCCAGAGGCTGGCGCAGCTGCTTGTAGCCAGCCTGGGCTCTGGGCAGCTGCAGCAGGTAGGCTGCAAACAGCTGGGCCGGGCTCCGACATCAGCTCCACACTGGCAGGTACACGCGCACCTCAGAGCAGACAGTGGGGATAGGGCCTGGCCCTGAGG